CTTTCACATAAATTACAGCAAGATCTTTTTTGATCCACCTCCTAGAGCAATGGAAATAAAAACAAAAGTAAACAAATGGGACCTAATGAAACTTAAAAGCTTTTGCACAGCAAAGGAAACCATAAACAAGACAAAAAGACAACCCTCAAAATGGGAGAAAATATTTGCAAATGAATCAACGGACAAAGGATTAATCTCCAAACTATATAAACAGCTGATGCAGCTCAATATTAAAGAAACAACCCAATTCAAAAATGGGCAGAAGACCTAAATAGACATTTCTCCAAAGAAGACATACAGATGGCCAAGAGGCACATGAAAAGCTGCTTAACATCACTAATTATTCGAGAAATGCAAATCAAAACTACAATGAGGTATCACCTCACACCAGTTACAATAGGCATCAACAGAAATCTACAAACAACAAATGCTGGAGAGGGTGTGGAGAAAAGGGAACCCTCTTGCACTGCTGGTGGGAATGTAAATTGATACAGCCACTATGGAGAACAGTATGGAGGTTCCTTAAAAAACTAAAAATATAATTACCATATGACCCAGCAATCCCACTACTGGGTATATACCCAGAGAACACCATAATTCAAAAGGACACATGCACCCCAATGTTCACTGCAGCACTATTTACAATAGCCAGGTCATGGAAGCAACCTAAATACCTATCGACAGACGAATGGATAAAGCAGATGTGGTACATATATACAATGGAATATTACTCAGCCATAAAAAGGAACGAAATTGGGTCTTTTGTAGAGACGTGAAGGGATCTAGAGACTGTCAAACAGAATGAAGTAAGTCAGAAAGAGAAAAACAAATATCGTATATTAATGCATATATGTGGAACCTAGAAAAATGGTACAGATGAACTGGTTTGCAGGGCAGAAATTGAGACAAAGATGTAGAGAACAAATGTATAGACACCAAGGGGGGAAAGTGGCGGGGCGTGGTGGTGGGGGTGTGATGAATTGGGTGATTGGGATTGACATATATACACTGATGTGTATTAAATGGATGACTAATAAGAACCTGCTGTATAAAAAAATAAGATACAATTCAAAAATTCAAAAAAAAAGAAAAAAAGTCCATTTCACTCATTCTAGGTATTCTTTTATTCTGAATGTTTAGTACTCCTATATTTGATTTACAGTATGTTATTATTTTGTACTTTACATTCAAGTTTTGCTGCTGCATTTTTAAATTTATTTATGTCCCAGCTTATTGCCTAATTCTACCTAATATCTTCACTGGGCATCCAAAATGGGCTTATTAAATATCCCAGATAATTGTGAGGTCTCAGGGTAGCTCTGGGTATTGAATTTAACACGTGACCTTAAAAAGAACAAAGAAAAACTGTATTTTATGTAGCTCTCTTTTACATACATCTCTTATACCACTCTTTTTTTTTTCCCTATACCACTCTTATAAGCCCAGAGTAAAGTTTTCATACACATCTTCATGCTCTAAGAAACATTTATTACCAAAAATTTAAATGCAATTCAATAACTATAAAAGACACCCTATAGAACTACTGATGGTTCAAGAAGAAGAAAAGTTACAGGGGACATGGCTGATTGATAAATACTGTGACTTCCCAGCTGTATTTCCTTTTCATGTCCTCTTCTCTTCTTAGACAAACTGCTAAGAATGTTGGCTACCGAAAATCAAAGAAATTACACACTTCCCCTAAACTTGCAACAAACTCAGTGCAATTATGTCTGTAGTTTCTTTTTTCTCTAAAAGCACTAAGTTCCCTTCTTTGTCTCATCGTGGCCTTTTCTGAGCCTAAATGGCATTTATTTTACACATGGGTATGACTTAGTATTCACACTAAGTTGCAGATACTTCTCTGCTACTTAACCTCACTGAAGATCAGTATGTGGTAGCACATCTTTAAAATATCATATGGAGCATTAATGATTTCAGGAGGCAGGATTTAGTAATTCAGCACAATAACAGTATTTTAAGAGAATGCACATAGGCTGAATGGGTGGTTGTGGACCTGGATACCACAAAACCATCTCTGTTCAGCACAAGACTCCACTGTGGATAAACTTGAAGCCAAGCTAAAGGCTAGTCCCTTTGGCCAGCAAAGCTCTACAGCACTTGATTATTACCTCTAGCGCTGATAGCATGGATCTCATCTCCTTTCCTAGACTGGAAAATCCTAGAGGTTTGCCCTTTTCACCTATGCTTTCTTTATCTTTTTGTATGGATGGAAGAATAATTGAAAAAAATGAACCTGCCTCATAAGCCAAATATTCTTTTTCATGAAGTAGTCTAAAGCAGCTACTCACAGCTCTCTTGGAAGCAGTCATTAAATCTTTAACTATTTACAATATTAAAAAAATCAGAGAATGGTAGTGCTAGAAAAGATATGGTCTAAACCTTTCATTTTATAGGTAGGGAAATGGACAGATGTTTGTCTTTATGCATACAGGGCAGTCGCTAACATAAGCTTAAAAAACAAAATTAAGCCAAACCACAATGAGAGGAGTAGAAATACATCCTTTAAATTGATATCACTCTTCCACAAGAAGATGCAAACTCATAGAGGCACTACAGAGTCTCCAATTATAGTCACAAATGGAACCACCTGGTATTTCTTGGCAGCTAATAACATTTAAGGAGAAAAAGTTTTCCTATTTCTTATAAATGCTCATCCAGGGATTTCTGTCCTTTCCCCCCAAATCATCTAATGATGACTCAAAATAATATGGTGACTTATACTTTTGAAGGTACTTAAAATACTACAGAATTTTAAAAACAACCACAACTTACCTCCTTCAACTTTTCCACATCATCTTTCACTTTTTCGTAGATTTCACTAGCTGTTCTAAGTTTTTTCTTCCACTCTGCTACAGTTTCTGGGTCAATTTTACTTGGATTATCTGCAACTGGATGTTTGTCTTCATTTTGGTTGCCCTGCATCAAGGTTAAAGGATCCAGAATAGTCTTGATCTGTGACTCCAAGCTGAGATTTTTACTCTTAAGCTCTTCTACCTCTTTCTGTAGACAATCTATTTCATCCTGAAAAAGCATTGCATAGACATCAGGTAGACAGAGACACTAAACACATACATATGCTAGAGTGAGGCCAATGTGCTTTTAAATTTTATACTCAAAATTCTGTAGATACATAGATTCTTTATGCATCAGAAAAGCTTTGCAGACAGAAAGTCACATATAGTTGAAATTCTCAAAATGTATTTTGACTGATAAAAATAGGCATTTCCGGGCTTCCCTGGTGTCGCAGTGGTTGAGAATCTGCCTGCTAATGCAGGGGACACGGGTTCGAGCCCTGGTCTGGGAGGATCCCACATGCCACAGAGCAACTAGGCCCGTGAGCCACAACTACTGAGCCTGCACGTCTGGAGCCTGTGCTCCGCAACAAGAGAGGCCGCGATAGTGAGAGGCCCGCGCACCGCAATGGAGAGTGGCCCCCGCTTGCCACAACTAGAGAAAGCCCTCGCACAGAAACGAAGACCCAACACAGCAAAAATAAATAAAACTCCTACCCCCAACATCTTCTTTTAAAAAAAAAGAAAAAGGCATTTCCATTGCTTTTATTTTAATTCAATGACAGTTTGTAATTTTAAAAAATTAAAATGTCGAATCTTTGATTCTATTTTAGATATCCAGAAAACACGAAAAGGCACATGAATTCAACAAGGAAGTAGATTCCTCAGAAGAAAATTCTGAGGCATGTTTAATTGCTTTACTGAGGGGAATTTAAAAATACAGTTTTGATCAAGATTTATAGTTTTGTTTGATGTCTATATTTTTGCTTCTATATTTGAAGTAGGAGTAAAACCACATACCATGTCCTTTCACTTTCCACTTCCGAATAGTACCTGTAGTTAATTTTTAACTCTTCTACATTCTGGATCTTTAATTACTGCTAAGACTATTCCAAGTATTAGTTTTCCCCATGTGGAACTGCTTGCTACCTTAAATCCAGTAACTAAACATTTGGGGCTAGAACTCTTTTCTGTGATACAATTTATTCATCTATAATGGATATTTCATCTTAAACTAAGATTGTCAGAAATTCTGTTGTTAGAAAATAAACTTCAATATGCCAGTAATCTTCTAAAGGATTAATTTGATTAGCATCTAAGTGTGATAAATATTAAGTAAATAAGAATACGTTTCAGAGCTAACACAGATAGTGCTATTTACTATTTTAAATTACAATACATTTCAAGTTAAATAGCATTATAAAATGAGAAAATCACTTTACTTGTTTGAATTGATATATTAATGAATAAACAAATATAAACAGGAAAACATATGAATGAACATTTATTCATTTATTTATGTCCCACTTTATTTCAAAAAATTTTTAAAGCAGCTGAAGCAGTTTCCATTTACATAGTATAACTTAAAGATATTTTGTGTCAAAGGAAGAGAGCAATAATATCCCTCATTTAGTCGATATAAAATGACAACTGGGCCTAATGTTTATTCAAAAGTATATGTATTCCATTAACATGAAGCTAATTTAGAAAAAATTCCATCACCATATGTCAAACCACCTTCACAGGAAGAAAACCACTGCATAATCTCACATATATGTGGAATCTAAAAGAGTCAAATACATAGAAGCAGAGTTAAACAGTGGTTACCAAGCGTGCAAGGTGGGGGAAATGGAGAGGTGGGAAAAATAGGGAGCTGGTTCAAGGTGTGCTAAGTTGCAGTTATACAGGATAGAGATAGTCTAGAGATCTACTGTATAACATGATGACTATAGTTAATAATACTGTACTGTGTACTGGAAATCTGTGAAGAGAGTATATTTCAGGTACTCTCACCCCACACACAAAGTAATTATGTGAGGAGACAGCTATGTTAATTAGCTTGATTGATGTAATCACTTCACCATGTATATGTATATCAAAACATGTTATACACCTTAAATATACACAATTTTTATTTTAAAAAAACCACACTGTTTTACATGGGGAAAAAAAAAAGAATTAGGAAATAGCATATCTCACACCAAAATCTCTTTGCTGGTAGCTGACATAAGTATATTTTCTTTACCAGAACTGATCAGACTTATAATTAGCAGTGAATTTATAGGTAGAAACAAAAACAGAATGACGGTTATAATCCCTGTTTGCCAGACCATTCACAATGCCTTGTGGGGGCTGGAAGACTGACTTTTACAAGGGAGTTTCCTTTATCTCCCACCTCTTGAGGGAGTAACTTACAAAACAATGTTTCTGTTGAGGACAAATTTAAAATTAAAAGAAAGAAAAAAAGGAAATGTTTCCATCTGTTCCTTTCCTCTATTTGAAATAGGAAAGGGAAAAAGAAAAAGAATTTATCAAGTAAGATATTTTTAAACTGGCATTTAAAATAAGATTTCATTAGATGCTTACTCTAAGAAGTCCAGGGACTGATAGCTCAGTTTTACCTTGAATTCAATGCTGTCATCATTTAACATTTTAATTATTATTTACCTCATATTCTTTGTGGAGTAATTCAAGTCTAGTTTTCCGAAGGTGCTTCCTGACTGTATGGCTTAGTATAGGTTCACTTTCACTTGTTCCTCCTACAGGGAAAAAAAAAGCTAACTTTTCATTCTGATTCGGGTAGAATGACAATTAAAATGAACTTTTTTATTATTGTTCTATATAGTTCTCTAGCTTAATTTCTACCCTTTTCCTTATAACCATGTGGGCTGCCATCTAGGCCTCTTCTGTACTTTAATCCTGAGAAAAGATAAATAACACCATAAGATATACCTTCAATAAAATATCATGTTGTGTTTACTTACCTATGTATCTTATTATATTAAACTCAATGAAGGCAAAGGCTGTATTTTATTAATGATCACATTTGGATGACTGCAAATTTTGAGTACCAGACAACTGTTAATGATAAAATCAATGATTATATTTACAGCTAACCAATAAGTTGTATAAATATTATCAATATTATCTGTACATGATATAATTATCAAATACATATTATTATCTGTATATATCACATATGATACATATATTATGATATATATTATTATAACCAATGTATTCATTCAAACATATGTGGTTACACAACTGAAAAGATTAATGTGTCCTTTCACTGATTCTAACAACCCAGTTGCGATGGGTTATAAATCACAGCACTAATTGTATGCCCATAATAACTCACACAAACACACTCAAAATGTTTTCTTCCTGAGAGCTCTTCACTTATGCTGTGGTTACCTTCTTTGTACTTCTCAGCATCATGATAGCAAAGGCATATACAGATATTCTTTTTCAGGATGTTCTATCCAAATGGCAGGATGGATGAACCATTTTACTTGAGAGAATTTATGAAATATCACTTAGATATGAATGAATAAAGGAGGGAGAAGGGATGTGAAAAGAAGCTGGGGGAAAAACATTCAAATTATTTTAATCAACAAAACTCATATTCTGCAAGGAAAGACCTGACTCCTGGTAAAGGTCAGTGCAGGTAGAAAAGTAGAGGCTAAGGTTAACACTCCAGTTTCCAGCACAGCAGAGAAATATTCCTCTATCAGACTTCATCCAGGTACTCAAGAAAGAAACCTTGGAGCCAGCTCTGACTCCCCTTTCAGATCACTTAGTTCCAAAGTTCCACTGGTTGTTCTTTTGTTCTAGCATATATACCTTCCTTTCCATTATAAAAATTTTAGTTAAGTCCATTTTGCCTAACTTGGGACTATTACAATGACTTCTTAAGTTTTCTGAAAGGTTTTTTTCTATGATTCATGCTATCATGAATTCACTTTCAATTTTTCCTAAAGCAAAACCAAATAAAAATCATTTAATTTTAACAATCTAAGAGAAATAACACTAAAAAAGCTCTTTAAATGCTCTATTTTTCAAGAATCTTCTAGTTCAAGTTTTATTCCCCCTCTTACCTACACTACTGTAGCACTGAATGTTCTTTTTTATTCCCTTAATCCAGAATCACACTCTCCTTCACCTGGGCAAGCGCATCCAACCTGACCTACTCACGTCCCGTTTCTCCCCTGGAGCCCAGCCTGCACACATCCCCTGAGTGATACTCCTTACACACATTTTGGGTTGTGCCATCCCCTTGCTCAGACCATCATGCCCACCTCGCCCTTCTCACCCACACAGCAGTTCCCCGATTTAGTCTGTCACTCAAGATGCTCTGCTCTAATACGCTACCAAATGTAAAATAGATAGCTAGCGGGAAGCAGCCGCATAGTGCAGGGAGATTAGCATAGTGCAGGGAGATTAGCTCTGTGATTTCCCTCCCTCCCACCTAGACGGGTGGGATAGGGAGGGTGGGAGGGAGGGAGGTGCAAGAGGGAAGAGATATGGGGACATATGTATATGTATAGCTGATTCACTTTGTTATAAAGCAGACACTGACACGCCATTGTAAAGCAATTATACGCCAATAAAGATGTTAAAAAAAATAAAAAGAGTCTCATTTTACATTTTCAGTCAGACCCAAACTAGACTACTGATCATTTCCAAAAACATGCCTTACTTTACTACTTCTAAACTGTAGTGCATGCTATTCCCCCTGCGTGAAATGCCCTCCCTAACCTTTACCATTTGAAAACTTATCCATCCTTAAATCTCCATCTTAAAGGCCACCTGTGTCATGGATCCCTTCTCAATGTTCCTAGCTGAACTTTCCTGTTTAAACTCTGTGGACCTTCCTGTTTGTTTGTTTTTGGCTGTTAGCATCTGCTGCTTTAAACCATTAATATTTTGGTCCACATGCACAGCCTCTACCAGAATGAAAGTTCCAGGAGGCTCTGAGACTTCTCATGGTGCTTTGTGCTCCCCAGTTGCTCCACTTACAGATTATGCCAAATGCCCAATCCATCCAGTAGGATATTGGCAAAATAACATCACTGAAAATTGTCTATTTCAGTCTTCCTCCAAATAGACACTATTTAAGATTGTTTCAAATCTATTTCTATATGTTTATAAAATAGACCCTTACCAATAATCTCTTTGCAAGGATTTTCAGGAGTGATGGGGACTCTGCAGGCTGGACATTGGCTATTATTCTTCAACCACAAATCGATACAAATTGAACAAAATACATGGTTGTTGACACATATGACAGGCTGGCGTACCTTTGAAAAAAGAAACATTACTTTTAGTACAGGGCAACAGTCCTAATGAGAATCTCAATAGTTTTAGCTTAGAGCAAATCTCTTCTCTAGAGTACAGCAGTAGGTGCTTTAAGAGGAAGTATAATATCTAGGATTCATAAAAATGCTGCTTGTGCTACCACATTGTTTCTTATACATGTATAATAAAGATACTAGCTTAGATATCTGGTCATAGAGACTGAAACTTTGAACACATCATGAAATGGTTTTATTTTGTTCCAAACCACACTTATTGCCAAAAATAAAATGCATTTTGTTCCACTGAGGCTGGGGCAATTTTCCTTCAACTATTCTATTTTTGGATCATGAAATGTCAGAATTAGAAGGTTCTTTAAAGATTATTTAGTCCAATCACCCATATGACATTCAAGACTTGAAATCCTTCCCTCAAGTCATTCTACTATATTACAGAGCAATAGCAATCAACAATTTAGCACTGATTCTTACTAGAAAGTCCCCAAAACCAGAGGCGTAAAAGCTACAACAATCCTAAAAGACATGACATACACTCATGTGGTTTACAATCTAAATAGCAAACAGTGCTGACAGAAATACTTAAATACACCAAATATACAAATCTTTGACTCAGTGTAATCAAATAACAATACTTTACATTTATATTGTCTTATATTTTACAATGGGCTTTCCATGCATCCTCTCTCTCTCTCTCAATAACCCTGTGAGATAAACAGTAAATATACTTTACTAATAAGGAAACCAAGGTGTGAAGATATTAGGTGGCCTGCTCAGGGTTAACAATGTAGGTGTTCTGACTGTGTGTAGCTGTTTTATCAGAGGCAAAATAGTAGAGAAGCTGTTTTAGTTTCCTACTTATTTGTTTACATATTTATTGTAAATTTATATTTATCTCCCCTTTTAGACTAGAAACTCCATAAGAGCAAGAACTTCTTTCGTCTCATTCATTTCTGAATCCCTGGTACCTAGAAAATAGGTTAGTACACAGTAGGTACGCAATAAAGTCCTGTTGAATGAAGTAACTGCTATTAGGACAGTACTTAAAATTCAACTTATCGGGGAACCTGCCAGAGGGAATAGGCAATTCTTTCACATTTTGTTGTAAAGAAGAGAGCATAAAAATATGGCCATCGTAAGAAATGATAACAGGAATGACACAGTAAAAAGGGGATATTAATTAATGACGGAGGAAGAGGGGGAGGGATTAGAGCCATAGATAGCAAAGTCCCTAAGAAGTCAAGAGGGGAATGATATCCAAATCACAAGGGGGCAGATTTTGACTTATATGGAGTGAGGATCTGTCTTCCATTTTAACAAAAGGGAAAACCGAGGGTACAAGAACAAATACAAAGTGGATGGAAGATCTGTTGATGGAAAGATGAGGGAACTCATGTTCCAACTGCTTATTGTTTGTGATTAAATATGAGGTGAGGTTACCAGCTGCAAGTGAGAAGGGGGGAATATCGACTTGAGAAAATAGGAGAATAAAGCAGTTGTTTTGAAAGGTAAGAAAGTAAATTTACTAGGGTTATGTACAGAGCTGGATTGCCAAACACTGTTGAGTATGTGAATGGCAGCAAACTGAGAGAGCCATAGGGTCAACCAATGGATCTTGAAAAGGCTGAAGTAATACTGGAAGAGTAGGTATGATGAGAAGAGGAGCAGATGCTCATAGTCAAAGCACAGGAGGCGGTACAGCTGCTTTCCCTAATGTTTTGTCCTGGGACACCTTACCTGACAAAGTTCTATTTTCTCTCTCAATCTCATGTATCACACAGTGTTAACATCTTTTCTATGGTAACAGTTCCTGAGAATCCTCTGTAACTGGACCTTAATAAGTGGCAGAGCTTAGGCTTCTAGAGACAAACCTGAGGCTGACTTCAGCTCTGCTACTTATTGAACTGTTTGACCTTGGGTTAACCCTTTAGTTACAGTGGCATCTGTTTCCTCTTCTGAAAACTATGGTTTAACCTAGTAAACTTTTCATTCAGATGTTGCTTAAGATTTAATAATATAAAGATGTAAGCACAGAGACTTCCACATAGCAATCCCTGGGGAGGGGAGGGGAAAGGAGAAAAGGACTATATCCACGTGCCCAGGAGCCAACTCCATGTAGGCATCTTAAAGCTGCCCCAACCATAACATGTCTAAAGCCAAACCTGGCCTCCACACACTCACTCCCCCTCCTGCACTTCTTGTCTAAGTTACTGGCACCACCACCTCACCACTCAGGCTAGAATACTGAGAGCTGTCTCTGACTCACCCTTTTTATTTATCCTCACCATCCAATCAATCATCAAATGCTGGTATCATATATCAGTCTAAGAAGCCAGGGGTTTTAAGATACACCCATATTTTATGTACCACTAAGAAAAAAGAAAGAATGAAAAATGCTGCCAATTACAACTGCAAGATGCTACTGCTTGTAAAATAGAACCAGATTTCAGAGATATTACAACTGCAAGATGCTACTGCTTGTAAAATAGAACCAGATTTCAGAGATGTTATAACGTTCAGACTATATCCCAGAATAGTCAAAATGTGGCAAACCTACCTCTAAATGTTCTTTTTTTTTTTTTTTTTTTTTTG